GCATGCCGAAGCCCTCCGATGAAACTTGAGTCCGGGCATAACACGCACAGTACAAGTCGAGGAGGCTGTGCGTGAGGCATGCGAGGAGCTTTGAAAGCCCCAACAACATCTGCAGCATATCCGAAGCCATTATTTGCACATGCTGAGTGTTGCTGCATGCTTGAGCTTCTGATGTGACGGATCTTGTTGATCGAAATGCTGATTCAGTGTTTGTGGCCTGTATCCTTGCGAGGACACCAGGAGACTTCTTCCCTGGAGTAGGCTTGTTTGTCGGCACCATGTATGGTCCCTGTTCCTACACATAACCTTCCCTTTCAGCATTGTTTTGCTTTTACGGGGAAAGCCAAGTTCCATTCGTTGACGGATGATGAAACACTTACAACAGCATGAACTTCCGATCGCAGCACACCGGGTCAAGGAGCACATAGGGACCCACTCGAGCCATGAGCTTCCAGTATGAGCATAGACAACTTGACCACGGCGCACAGCCGTGGCATCACTCGGAGAAGCCCCCGGGCTCCTGGTATGAAGACACCAACCGCCGCAGAGGACGGCGTGAGAGATCACGGTCCCCACTCCGCCACCGCCAACCCGACCGACGCCAACCGACACATGAACATCCCTCATACCATGACACCATCAGGACAGCACCGGACCCACGGCGATTGATCGCTGAACTCGGTCCTCACGCATTCTCCGGCTTTACACTTGAGTGTATTCGGCTCTTAAAGCCGACGGAGTTTGCAGACATATGGCATAAGCTCCCCACTGAGTCACAGAGAGTCGCCTATGGCGTCCCACCAGGCATCCGAGTCGACATAGACAACATCCGCGATGACAATGAGAGGAAGTCTATGTGTAGGAAAATCAACGAACTCCGCCGCGAACGATGTCTACAGCTCAGCTCACCATCCCAGAGAGACCATTGGTTGGACGAGAGTTGGACCTTCACCCCCATGTCCCGAGAAACCTGCCGAAGATTTTGGGATCTTTTCCGGATGATTCCGCTGGCGAGCACCAATCCCGTTCGATGGAAGGCCACCGTTGAATACCTCAAGCAATGCCCAGAGAAGCCAGACCGCCAGTCCAACCCGTCACGCTGCATTGACAACAGTACCCGCGAATCACACGAGCCTTACGCCACACCTTCGCACACACACCCGTGCCATCCGCACACACCCGACCGGCATTCACGACAGCATGGCTCCCACTCCTCCCCCGCAAGAGGTTTGCACGGCCTCGCCAACATGGCTAAGTCACCACCCGCCACACCCCCCCACAGAAACGAACCACAGCAAGACTTTGCCGAGGCAGTCAGACAAAGAGTGGAGACTGATACAGCCAACCTTAGCGCTTCATCGATTGAGGTGTCCAGATCCAACAGGTTTCCAACGAAGATGCAGCCATCACAGGCACTCGGCAACCTTCCACAAATGGCTGCCATGAGTGACACCTACCAGACGACATACGAAGTGTACTTAAAAAAGTACACGAGAGTCCTACAGAACGTGCGCCCTACAAGCAAGCCGGGCAAACACCTAGCATCCCTCTGCAAAGCATTGAACATCAATGCTAGCCCCAGCGACAACCAGCTACCAGCAATACTCGCTCGCCTGCGAGCGTCAGACATGATGAAAGCACCGCCATGACTAGAAGAGATACCAGCAAGCGCCACGGTAGCAGAATGCTGCAGTGCAGCGCTTGACTTGTTATGTTTTTTGTACTCTTGGTTTTTGAACGAAGGGGGCGGCCGCGCGGCCGGCATAGAAGTGATCATGCGTGTTCTAGCTGGCTTTTGGTTTCTTCGCCTTGCCGCAAAATCCACGCGCCGATCAACTATGCTGCTTCGCCATGCTGGCCACCACCCCTGGTCCCACGGTTGGGACAAACTTTGGCATAACTCCGTCGTTTACTGGATTACTCCGGTTTTCCCACTGTTTACTTCTGTCGGTCCATTCATCTATATCGGAGAAACCGACAATATGTACAGACGTGCCTCCGAGCACGTGCTATGTCTGCTCGCTGTAAGAGGCGCAACTCAACAACCCTTTTTTGACATTGTACGGAATGGTGAAACTTCCCCATCCAAGCTCAGATCATGTATAGCCAACTGGCTGATAATGCCGGTCACACTTGTACAGTCAAGCCTTCGCAAAGCCACGGAAAGAGACATGATTCAGATGCTCGGCACGCTAAACCCTCCGAGAGTGTACAGTTTAGGCATGTCCAATCGGCCCAAACGCCGCAAATCACTAGGAGTGAGGATTTTCGAATGCACTCGCCCCTTCAAGCGCCTCAGATCCGGTGCAAGCACGCCAGCTGGCTACAGCAACCCCCAACGCAGACATACACGCGCAAACCACCAGGCTTGGAAGTCCGGCTTACAAGCCATAGCATCCGCTCTTGCAGGGCATCATTTCCCTGGACACGAACATTGCACTTTGGCAGCCTGGCGACTTTCGCCCAGCTCTTGGCAGTATGTAGCACACCGGATAAACAACTGCGAGGAGGGATGGCGCAGAAAACGTGCCATGAGCATCCTGCGCAAAATCAGCCGTATACGGCGTGATCTTATCTTCCCCATCGCTGTCATCCGGTGTTCATTGCCATGGGTTGGTTCGTTCCGAGCTCGACAGATCGTTTTGGCTTCCGTCAAGCGTCTGTTACGCCACTGGAAAGCCCAGGGAACGTTTGTGCCTGTCTTGAGACATGCTCGCATAATGTTCCACTGGAAACGAACCGCAACCCTAACCCAATGCCTTTCCACAGCACAAGCACTGCCAGCCATTGTATGCCAGGAGCAAACCAGCCTGTGTGATTGTGTTTCAAGACAGGCGAAAGGCTGGAGCGGCATTGTCCTTGAGGGCAAATTCCACGTCGCAACCCCGCAATCACTGATGCCATGGCCGCGTGCTTTGAAGCACTTGGCCACACAACCTGCATCCATCACACTTCCCCCGACACGCAACCAAGTTCTCGCATCCCTCCGAGACAACCTCA